ACTATGTAACTATCATTTTGACCAAAAATACTAAAGACTCAACTGCTAACTTCTGAGAAAAGAATTCAAAACTTAAAGGCAACTTACAAACTAATAGTAATAAGAATACTTCACACATCAAAGGCTGGGGAATGCCATCCAAAGTTAAACTCAAAGGAAAATTTAAGTAAATGCTTTTATTATTTTGAAACAAAAAACAGAAAATAAATGCCAAGAATGGATCTATGAAAAAAGAGAAGACAAATTTAAGCCTGAGAAATTCTACGTAAGCTAACCTTAAAATGTAACAAAGTGCAATCCTTCTGTGATACAACTGTACTCAAACACAGACTACAAAATACTAAAATCATATCATAACATTGTCAACTTGTTAGGAAGTGCCACTTGAAGAAATGCTATTAAGTGCAATCCAAAATTTATAAGGAATGTTAGTAATAACCACTAGCATTGTTTTTTTCTATTAGATACTGTTAGTACAAAGAAAACCTGCCTTTTCAACCATTCATTTCCAAACACTTTTGCCAGACTATATGCAAGATTCCAATGGCCCAAAGAAAAACTTAGAATCATAATACACTAATTACTAATAAAACTATATTCTTTCCTTTCTCTCTGCTAGTGCTCCACTAATGAGCCACATCGTCTTTTTCTTTCTTTTTTTTTTATTCATAACGTGCATACAATGTTTGGGTCATTTCTCTCCCTCCTCCAACCCCCTCCCTCTCCTCCCTCAATACCCAGCAGCGTCTTTTTCTTTCCTTCTTAAAATAGTATTTGTACATGATTTATTATGAAATTACCTGAAAAAATAGCATGCAACCCTACACTGGTGCTAAATTTATTTTACAAATTTTGCTGATCTTGAGAACTATTGTTTAGGTCAATAACATTCATTTCACAGAAATACAAGTCCAGGAAATGAACATAATACCACATATACTTTTAAAATTCCAACTGACTGTCTCTGATCTGACTTAAATTACTAAAACCTACCATACTAAATACCTAAAGGTATGAAATACACAATAAATAGCAAGAGGCAAACTTATAATTACTTGTCCTACTATTACAATGAAATTGTGCTATAGGAAAGAAGCCCATATTCTCCATGAGCTTTACCCATTTCCAAGAAGATGACATCATTCTTTTTTCAAAACCCCTGTCCTCCCACATCTTATATTCACTTACCTTACCCTAGTGATTATTCCTCAGGACTAGGTTTAAAAATCTATTGAATCTTCAGAGTATCAGAGCCTTTAGACCATTGTTTCCTACAGAATTACTACTACTGTTAGTCTCTCTTTCTATCCCCAGGCTCTTTTGTGCCCATCTATGCCCAACATAAACTATTTCCAGATTTATCTTTCAAGAAAATAGTTCATGATACTCCCCTGTCAAAATTTAAAATCTAGAGGTTAAAAGTCCAATCAACAGTTTGGAGGTTTGTTTTTGTTTTTTCTTTTTTAAAAACCAGTAGGTCTCATTGCTGCTTACTTCCAACAAGTTTACCTTACTGAACCTTTTGTTCTAATACTGATAAAGTAGAGCACCTCTTTGCAAGTGCAAAGCCCTGAGTTCACACCCCAGTTCCACCCAAAAAAAAAAAAAAAAAAAAAAACAACCAAACAAAAAAATAACAACTGTGGCTGGGGTATGGCTCAAATGGTAGAGCACTTGTTTAACAAGTGCAAAGTTGAGTTCAAACCTCAATATTGCCAATAAATAAATGAACAGCAACTGGTTTTAAATATAGGTGAACTATTAATACTGACATTAAACATTTTTTCTTACATTCTATATTTTGCTAAATAAATATAGGAGCATCCTTTCTGTAAGGGGGATGTGACCAATTACAAAGGTAACTGAACCAACCCAGAAATACAATTCCAAGAGTATCTTTTATTCAGAAAGTAGAATGCAACAAATGTGAACTCACCATCAAAGATCAGTATCAGATCATTTATATGTTAAAATTTTACTATCCATCTCTGCCATTCAAAAGTAAGATCCATGAAAGCAAGGACTTTGATTTATTCACCAATGAAACCTGGCTGCCCTGAATAACACTGGAACACAGTGAGTACTTACAAATCTTTGTTGAATTATTTTGCCTAGCAAACCTAGCACCTCAACATGAGGTAAGATACTTGCTCATTAGCAGATACTACTTAGAGTATAAGCAAGGAGCCATGTGCCGCACAGCAAATGAACAAGATAAAGGGAATGGCGTTTGTCTCCAATTTTGGCAGAACCCCAGCATTTCTGCTCAATGCAGCAAAAGGTTTATTTACCTCTTAATTTATTTCAGTGTCTTATTTTTGATGCACCTTACTTTTACATGTGCCAGGATGGTTCTGTTTTAGACACTAGCATTGGAGCCAAAGGGTCTATAGTTTTATGCATACCCCTTGCCTCAGGTTTTTTTTTTTTTTTTTTTTGATGATTTTTATGTACCTTCAAAACTGCTTATGTGGCTGAACAAAGTGGCTCATGACTGTCACCCTGGGAAAGTTAGTGAAACTCCTATCGGTGTGTGGCACGTCTGAACAAAAAAAACCATGAGATCCTATTTGGCTCAAGTGATAGAGTACTTGCCTAATCCTGAGCTCAAATCCCAGCAAAAAAACCACCCCCCCCCCCACGGTATTATTTGTTTTTAGGCATGGGAAGGTTTGGTTTTTCACAGATACAAGAATCTAGGAAGCCAGGCAGCAGTGGTTCATGTCTGTAATCCTAGTTGCTCATGAAGCAGAGACAGGGAGGATTGCAAATAGTTTTCCACACCCTACCTTGAAAATACCCAACACAAAAAAGGATTGCTTAATTGGCTTAAGTGGTAGAGTGCCTGCCTAGCAAGTATGAGGCCCTGAGTTCAAACCCCAGTACTACCAAAACAAAACAAAACAAACAAAAAATCTAGGAGGCTATACTATCTTAAGAAAAATTTTATAATACATCCTAGTGGCAGGCAAACTGCCCATGAGGTTTTTTGTTTTTGTTTTAAAGTATTAATTATACAAAGTAATAGGTTTCATTATGACAATTTCATGAGATTGTGTATGTATGTTTTAGTACTGTCTTAAAAAAACATCAAGGAACATGACAAAAAGCTACTTCTCTACACTTGACAGTAATACACTATTTTCTTGCCTTTTAACATTTTAATCCTTCAAAAAATCATTGAGATTTATATGACTAGTAAAAAACTGAGAAACTCAAATGTCAATATGAACATTCTGCCAAATAGCTTATTTTTGGCTGAAGATGCACTTTCCTAGCAACGGGGTTCAATCTCCCATGCCACAAAAAAAAAAAAAATAAATAAATAAAAAACAAAAAACCCTATTCTTATTTTATTTCTGGTACTTTTGTATTTCATGTAGAGTCTAGGAAATGACAGAAAAGGAGTAATGTCTGGCAAGTCAATTCTCTCAATATTATCCTTTAATAAGATCATGACAAAGTTATATTGTACAACTGCATACTAGAATAAAGCACGCCAGCACTGAAAACTCACTGTCCAACTATTAATGATTCTAGCAACTGTCTCCTCATTCATCTCACCAATTATCAGCAAGTATGTTAAAGCAACTTCTTCAAACACATTTTACTCTCCTTTATAACAACAGTCTTTGAAAACATTTTCAACAACAGTTCCCTCAATTCTTTCAGTCCCATAATTTCTTGAAACCACTCCAAGGAGGATTTCACCCTCCTCCATCTACCAAAACTGCTCACAAAGGTATACAATAATTCTGGCCCTGTCAGTTTTCATCTTACTTGACTAACCCACAGCATCTGACATAAATGTCCCTTCCTTCTGGAATCTTCCTTCTTTTGCCTTACCCATTCCATATTCTCTTGATTTCTCTGCTTTCTTGGTCACTCCTTTTCAGTCCTTTTCTCATCTGTCGTACCACTAAGGTTTGGGGTATCAAGGTGTAATCCTCAGCTCTCTTCTTTATATGAGCTCCCCAGCACTCTCTATTCCCCTCTGCTGAAATTTTCACCCCAGTATTTAATGCTGTAGGACATACTACATAGTTCATTTATTGACTTTTTTCTGTTTCTACCAATTATATCATTTCATGAGGATTTTTGTCTATTTTTGTTTGATGTTTTGTGTTTTTTTTTTTTCTTTTGACAGCATTGGGGTTTGAACTCAGGGCCTCATGCTTGCTAGGCAGGCACTCTACCACTTGAGCCACTCTGCTATTTTATTTTAGTATTACTATTAATTTCATTATTATTTGTATTTTTTACTTTGGCAGTACTGCTTGCTAGGCAGACAATCTACCACTTGAGCTACTCTATCAGCCCTTTTTTTTGTTGTTGTTGGGTATATTTGAGACAGGGTCTCACTTTTTGCTTATGCTGGCCTCAAACCACGATCTTCCTGATCTCTGCCTCCAGAGTAGCTAAGATTACAGGCGGGAACCACCAGTGCCTAGCTAAAATGAAGAAAGTATTACGATTTATTTGTCTTTTGAGACAAGGTCTCACGATGTAGCATGTAGCCCAGGCTGGCTATGAACTTATGATCCTCCTGCCTCAGCTTCCCAAATTCAGGGATTACAGAAATACGCTATTACATTTGGAGATTTGTCTTAAGGCAAGGCATTCCATTTTCAGTGAAAACAGTTCAGGCGAGAAAGTACTCACTCCTTCAAAGTGTTTATTAGCAACACTGAAACTTTTAGTCTCTCCCATTTCTATTATAAAGGTCTAGCCAGTAGTTTCTAAACCTGCTACAAAGTCACCTGTTCAAAAAAAAATTAATTTTTTTAAAATTTAAATAAACAAACAAACAAAAAAATTTAGCCCCAACTCCAGAGCAACTAAATTAGAATATCTAAGAATCAGGGCCTAGGAATATAGTATTTTGTAAAGTACCCTGGAAACTTTGGTTTTGAAAACATTAAGTTAAACAAGAGACTGATTCCTCTATTTGAGCACCTGGCTCACAGTTTTGACAATGGCCAAGCCACACTGGTACTGACCTTCTTGGAAAGAGGAACGATGCTGTTCGGTCGAACAAGCCTTCGTTTCTTGCAGCTCAATACAGGACGTGTTCGGGCTGCTACACAGGTACCATCAGATGATGAAGAAACTAGATTCAGTCGTTGCTTTTTATGTAATTGTTCCTCAGCATCAGAGCTGTCACATGGAACATGGTCTGACAATACAGGCTGAAGACTACACACAAAGGGAAGGAAGAAGATTCTTTTCTCAGAAGACACAGGAAACTAAAGCCTCTAATACTGCCTCAACCTTGTCTACTTGCAAGTGTTCAGACATAATCAAGCACTCTATCACAGAAGCAAGTCACCTCAGAAAGAAATGTACACTAATCTAAGTGTGAGTGCTGTGCCCTTATTCATAAGCTTCTTGGTGCACATTCTTGCTATTGTGTCTGAAAAATGCAAAGGTCAGTAAGTAAATGCAAGTTCTTGTGATTATGTCTTCTTTTTACAACAGAAATATGACCAAAGCAAAGTACAGAAATTTGCAACTGGTAAGAAAATGATGAACTCTGCAAATGATTTTAACTGCCTAAAAATCAGTACGCCTGTGAGCCTCGAATTCTAGGGATATGTACATATCCACTTGTATAGGGATTCTAGGAAACTTCATATATCATACAGGATTTACAAACATGGACTTTAAGAGCTAATCTGCTCTAAGTTACAGACGCTTATGTGAAGTTTTTTGAGGATTTCCTCAAGATTAGGAGCAGTAATAATAATTCATAATAACTGTAGGACTTTTTTTCTCCACACAAAATGCTAATGAACGATAAGGTTTCTGCTTCTTTAAACCATGGTCAGTCCTGGATGGAGACAACTAAGAACTCCAGGCTCACCTCTTAAAAGCTTACTACGTGTAAGAGCTGGAAGGAATAAAACTTACGTGCTAACAACTCCATTGACAGGTCTCAGTGTGCCACATGATTTGGTAGATAGTGACTCTGAAATATGACCAACAGGGGCACCATGGTTTTCCAATGGCAGAGAAACCGACTCAATCTGAGTAAGAGGAAGAAAAAATAAAAAAACACATTAACATTTACCCAACAACACACTTGCCTGAAAAGCAGTATCACTACATTTATCTGAAGCACCTAAAATTTCTGACTAACTGGAAAAACAAAACAAAACTTACATGATTGAGGAAAAAGAATTAACTTTTGCTTTGGAGGAAAACAGGAACCCTAATAGACAAACACCAGTAAAAGTCTACTAACAGGGAAATGATCTCAACAATTCTATGGAACAGAATTTTAGGAAAACAATTACATAGTAGCATTAGCCTTCCACTAAGGGTCAAAAAGGTTATAGTCATATCAGTATTAAGACAACTAAAAGGAAATTTAAATGTAATTAATATCTGCTGGGTGTATGACAGAAACTTGTTTTTCAAAAACTGTATTTTGTTTAAAAATATACACACACATTAAAATACATAAAATTTGGTTAAAAAATTAAAATCTCAAATGTGATACTTATACTAACTTGTACTCAGAATCAAACCTATGCACATGGTAGGCTACTGTCTTTTTACAAATCAAATGCATATTTAGAATATAAAATGGGATAAAGAAGATGTGTAAGAATATGGAAAAGCTTGAATTTCAGTATTCAAGACAAATTATGTATTTACTAGGCTAGAGGGGACAGATGTGAGTGCAGAGTATATGCTGTCTCTGAGGTATAGGAAATGAAGCTGCAAAGAGTCTATCTGATGGTTTCTGGGGTTGATGAAATACCACAGAAAGGCTGTGGTCTTTTGTCTCCTTACACTCAAACTGGCTTTAAGATGTACTGAAGTTCTTCCTGTAACTGCTACCAATATATCTTAAGGCCAGTATTTTTGTGGCTGAAATTCTATTTCAGTATCAATGAACGTCTTTTGATCTCCATACTTCTAAGTAAAAACACCAAAGGATCTGCAGACCTGACAGTAGTAGACAAGCAAAAGAAAGTACAACAGATTGTAAATATAACTAAGAGATTCCATAAAACTATTCAAAAAAAAAAGAAGCCACCTTAAAGTATATAATCAGGAAGTTTATATACAATCTGAGTGAACATTGAGAAAATGTTAACTGCTGTATGTTAATTAAGGTATCACAAATATCTTATTAGTCAATGCTGTCAAAATTATGGTAAATTTGGTACACAGACTCATTGTCCTGCACTCTACATTGATCTTCCTTGGAAAGAAAATGATTATTAGTACTGACAGCTATAAAGATATTCATCTTCTGATAAAATATGTTAACCAATCTTAAAAATCTATCCTAAAAGAATAACTCAGCAAATGTGTACTTAAAAATCTTATTCACAAAGCTGGGCAATGGTAATGACATTGATCAATGGTAACCAATAACCTAACTGCTCAACATCTGAGGCAGTTATACATTGTGGCATACCAAATGGAAATAAAGGATATTTCTGCTCCCCTTATGCAGAAAATATACGAATTTTTGGGAAAAAAAAATTTGAGGGCTAAAGATGTGTATCAGTGGTAGAGTGCCTGTTTACCCTGTCTAGCATGTGCAAGGCCCCGGGATCAAGCTCCAGCAAAACACACACACAAAACAGGAAAATAAGAATAAACTCAAAATATTTTAAATGTAGTTGTGGTGAGTCAAAATATATACATACAGCTAATGAAAAGTGCTGTAACACAACTATGCTGAAATTTCTTTAGTTACTTAATATTTTTGCATTAAAAAATAGATAAATCAAAATAATCTTTTGAATGTTAGTGAGGATTTACTACTCAAGAGGAACCTTAAAAGCCTGAACAAGTATTACCTACAGTATGACAAAAGACCAGAAAATAAAAATAAGTTAAGGTTCAGGTTGATAGTAACCATCAGACTTGTGGCTTCAGGCATGTTGTAGCTTTTCTAGATTGCAGCAGCTCTATGTTAGATGAGGTTCCTTTCAACTCAAAACTAATGTAACTACCTACTTTTTGCTTGTATATGCCCAAATGAGGAATGTCTGTTAATTTCACATACATGCCTATAATCCCAGCACTTGGAAGGCTGAGGCAAAAGGAGGCCAATGGGGGAAACAGAGAGAGACATGGTCTCAAAAAAAAAAAAAAAAAAAAAAAACAACAACAACAAAAAAAAACCCAACAAATACACACACACCCTTTATACTAAATCCTGTCCCTGATCTATTTATCTACATGTTCTACAAGGCACCAATGTTAAGTAATGGATTGACTCTGCACTTGAATAAGTATACTTTTGTTAGGGAATAGAAAGGATTTACTGCAAAAACATGTGTGAGAATAAAATATCACCACTCTTAAAATCTCATTTCAAAACAAATTTATCTTTTTAAAGAAGAATTAAGTAAAAATCACAGGTAATCTCACCATTTACAGCTAATTAGTGCTAAACAGCTTGCTTTATTTTTCATGTGTACAGGTGAATGTAATTACATGTTATTGATCTCTTTCTCTTTTGGCTGCGTGAGAGATCAAAGCCAAGGCCTCTTTCATGCTGGGCAAGGACATTCACGTTAGCAGCCCAAACTATCAATATTTTCTTTGAGGGTGTGTTACTGAGACTTGAACTCACAGCCCTGTGCTTCCTAGGCAGGAACTCTACCCGCAGGCCTTTTGGGTTTAGGCATTTTTTCAAATAGGGTTTCCTGTTTATGCCTGGGCCTGCCTGGACCACAATCACACTTTGTGCATAGCCAAGATGACAGATGTGTGCCACCATGCCTAGCTTTTATTGACTGAGATGGGGTCTAGTGGACTATTTTGTTAAGGCTGGCCTTGAACCTCGATCCTCCCAATGTCTGCCTTCAGAGTAGCTAGGATTACAGCTGTGAGCCATCGCACTTGACTTTAAGCTATGGATATTCAATGTGAATTATATTTTCATAAAGGAACCTAAAACTTTATGGGGTAATTCAAAACCTAAGACAACAGGAAAATATTATGTAACACAGAAATACTGTAAAGAATACAGAAGGATACAGAGATGAAGAATATTAAGCCAGGCACCAGTGGCTCATGCTTGTAATCCCAGCTACTCAGGAGGTAGAGATCAAGAGGATCTCCACTCAAACCCAGTCTGGGGAAATGGTTGTTAAGACCATCCTGAAAATATCCAACACAAAACAGGGCTGATGGAGGGGCTCAAGATCTGCTTAGAGTTCTTGGGAAATCCTGTCATCAGTCTGAGATTCAAGGGCAGGGCATGTGAGCAAGTAGGTTCACTGATTGTCAAATGCAAATGATTTAAAATATTAATCCCAATCACAGTGTTACATATAGGAAGAGAAAAATAAGACTCAGAAACATGTCATTTCATTCAGTTTTGTAAATAAATTCACATTGCCTTAAGACAAAGTGAACACTCCTTATCCCGAAGTCTACAAGTCTGTAAATACATTAACACTGCAAAAACTGTCAAGTCCACATATAACTTAGGATTTGATAATCACTACTGCAGTGGTCCACCATCAATAAAAACCCAAGGCATGACTAAAATATCTTAAATACTTCCAATAGGAAACTAAAAAGGATGAAAGAACCTGAGATTCCCCCACCAGAGAATATGTGTAATTACAGAAGCTTTCATATGAATTTTATTTGTTGTTCAAATATACTCCAAGAGTTTGTGTATTCCACAGCCAGAAAAAAAGAAAGCACAAGAGCTAAGGTGGTAGACAGAATGCTTCTATAATCCCTTTCTCTCCAAATCAGGGACCCAGAGGATTATCTTTTAGAGTAATCTTAGTGTCACAAAAACGAGGGCTGCTGAACTGTTATTTTTTTCTTTCTTTTTTTTTTCCTGGTTGAAAGAGCAAGGTGTACAGCATAAAAAGATTAATGCAGCAGTGAGATTCAAATTTTATTCATAAAGCAGTTATCTTTCTGATTTTGTTATTCCACCCTCTTAGCCAGACTACCAAGTGTGTCAAATAGCCCTTGAAGAAAAACCAGATTAAACTGAGAGGATTTTATGGGAGTATATTTTTCTGGGGGGTCTAAGAAATAGTGTCTAGATTTGTTTTACCAAAAGATAGGTGAGTAAAAGGAAAAAGGCACAAAAAAAAATTTAGATTCTTATCTGCAAGGTGTGTGCATTTTTACTTTAATCATTAAATCAATGCCTATCAGATCTGCTTAAAAGACCATTTAAGTATTTCACATTTGTTTGGCTAAAAACTTTAATAGTTCAGTTTTAGCTAGATATTCCCTCTGCCAAAAATTACAAAATGAAAAGGCTTTCTGAGTGACAGGAATTCAACTTTCACCAAACTTCTCACCTGGATTCAGCTTCTGCATATCTAAAATAGGGCCATGTGTGTCAATTTCTTATGTCTGTAGGTCATATAAAAGAAAATTCCTACACATATTTTTAAAATTTCAAACAGCACAATGCTGTTACAAGTCCAATGGACCTAAAGTTCAGATTTATACTCACCAACACTGCTGAAAACATATACCTAGAATCTAAAGATGGCGATTAACAAAACTGTCTTGTACATTCTTCCTACTTAAGTTATTTATCTGCAACACAATTTACTTTAAAAAGCTTAATTAGTTAACATTAAATATTGTAAGGTCAGGTTATTTCCTAGCTAGTATCTATACCCTTTACTCTCTATTCTCAAAATGTTGTCAGGCAAGAACACTATCAACATTCCTGGAACTGCAGAAATTCAAGGAAAATAAAAGTTATTTCTGCCACACCAATGGTAAAAAATGTTATCTGAAAGTGTTTAAAAAACAGCAATAGCTTACATTTTTAGCATGCCTTTCTTCTGAGAAAGCATTAATTCTTTACTTAATAGTTCAGTTGTTTTTCCCATCATTTCTGTACAGTGGGATGAGTATGGGTAAAACAATAAGGCCTGAGATGGCAGAGTGGCTCAAGTGGTAGAGTGCCTGCATAGCAAGCGTGAGGACCCGAGTTCAGACACCAGTACCATCAACTAAAAAAATGTTTATGTGTCTGCTTATTTTTTTTTGCATAAAAAAACAC